GACTGAGGTGAGTGAATTACCTGAGCCCGCGGGTTCGAGACCCGCCTGGGCAACTTGGCGAGACCTCATCTCTACAATAAATCAAAAAACTAGCCGGGCGTGGTAGCATGCGCCTGTAGTTCCGGCTACTCGGACGGCTGAGGTGGAAGGATCGCCAGAGCCCAGCAGGTCGAGGCTGCGGTGGCCGGGAGTGGCCACTGCACTCCAGTCTGGGCAACAGAGTGAGACTCCGACTCAAAAAAAAAAAAAAAAATTCAGTGCAGAACTAACAAATGGGGAAATGGAATCCAATTCGTTCCTCCTTTTGGTGCCTGTTTTTTGGGCCATTTTCCCCTTAACTGGCAGATGGTGCTTAACAGAATATGCTATTTGGTGAGGTTACATGTTTTAAAATCTATTTTGTTAGTGAGGTATAATTCATGTACCATAAAATTTACTCTTTTAAGGTGTACAATTCAATGTTTTAAAAGTATATCTCCCACTGCACTCCAGTCTGGGTGGAAGAGTGAGACTCCAACTCAAAAAAAAAGAAAAAGTATATTTCAAGGTTGTACAACCATCACCACTATCTTAATTTCAGAATAGTGAGGTTACAATTTGTCTTGAATTTTTGAATGAACCGGGCTCGGTGGCTCAACCTGTAATCCCACGCCTTTGGGAGGCTGAGGTGAGTGGATTGCCTGAGCCCACGGGTTCGAGACCTGCCTGGGCAGCGAGACCTCATCTCTACAATAAATAAAAAAAATCAACTGGGTGTGGTAGCGCATGCCTGTAATTCCAGCTACTTGGAAGGCTGAGGCGGAAGGATCGCCGGAGCCCAGTAGATTGAGTCCAGTCTGGGCTACAGAGTGAGACTCCAACTCAAAAAAAAAAAAAAAAGAAAAATTTTTGAATGAAATATCAACCAAAGGTGAACTGATTCTCAGGAAACTTGTTTAAAAGCTTTGATCCCTTTTGTAAGGGAAGTTGCAATTTTTATCCGTGTCCTTTTTTAAAAAAAAAAACAGTAGAAAGTTAGAGGACACTGACTTTTTTCTCAGGCCCGTGACTCGATTTCTTTCTGTTAGCGATGATTTTTAAATCTTGGGTCTTCAGGTTGAGGCCTGTTATCCCGGCTTTGTTACAATAAAGAAGATTCAAAACAGGAACTAATAAGACTTTCTGTGTTCTCTTGTCCTCCTCCTTTTTTGTCAAACCATGCTTCGTTAGAGCAGGGCTTAGGCCTGTCTTGTTCTCCTTTGTCACCATCACCTAGCACGGTGCCTGTCACCCAGGAGAGACTTAATAAGATTTGCTGAGTCAGTGGGCACTATTAGGTTCTCAGGAGAAGTTGTTTTGGGTATATTACTCCAAGTGGTTCATGGTGACTTTAGTACTTTTATTTTGTGGATAGCCAGGGAGTTATCTCATACTCTTGAGATACAGCTGCTTCTAGACATTAAAAGCTTGATTTCTTCCTAAGTAGTTGTAGGGAAGGAACCTGCAAGAACCCTTTTATCCCCATAGCTCTCAGGAACACTCATCTACCATAAACTAGATTTGTAAAGTCTTCTTGAGTTGGTATGGTGAAGCACGGTATGGGTGGCGTGAGTCTCTGAGTGTACTCACATGTTCACATGCATGCTTGCGTAAGCTCACAAGCGAGCTGTGAGGAATTCCTCCATGTTATTGTAAATTGCCCCTTTCTTCTTTCTGCCATTTGGTTTGTTGGTAGGCCAGGGTGCAGAGGGGCCTCCAGCCTGGGCACACAGCCCAGGCGTGCTAGCATTCAGAAGCTTCTTGTTTTCAGCCCCCATGTGCATAGACAGAGAACTGGGGCTGGCATAGCTGCTTTCTTGGGGACCATTGTTTGTTTTTGCTGCAGCAACTACAGCAGCAAAGCCTGAGGCAACACATTCTGCCCTGGACAGAACAGCTGTTCTGTCCTGGAGCTTCAGGCCTAGGGGGAGGAAACGGTTGGAGCCTCCCTTAAGTGTCTGTGCCGATGACCCAAGGGTGGTAGCAAAGGAGGCTTGTTCTTCAAGATGTGTAGTGGGGGAAGGGAGATGCTCAGTGGTGTCATATCCTAAATAAACCATAATGGCAGGTGGTATCTATTAGCAGAGCCTCTTCTTTTCCTGGATCAGGTTTGGGAATATTGCTTTCTCACCTTCTGTGTCCTCTGGGCTTACTGGCAGACCTCAGGGTGACCTCACAGGACAAGAAAAGCACTTCCTCCAAAGCTGCCCTGTAAAGTACGTCCAGGAAGTGGGGAAGAGATCCAGTCTGGATGTGGGCAAGTTGAAACATGGGCTAACGAGTCGGTGAACTAGTACAAACTCGTCTCTGGGGGGCCTGAATCACTCCTCAGCTGAAAAGTGGAAAAGATGATGTTTCAGGAGCGAGAGCCATTGTCACTGTGATTTACTCAAAAATACCTTCAGAGATGCCATATTGGTGTTCTATTTCTCTGGCTTTTGTTTCCCTGTCCTACCTCCAACTTCACTTGGAGCTGAATTGCTGACCCTTTGATAAATTACTTAATGAGTCTTCAGTTTTCTTACCTGTGCAATCAGGATAATTGGGAATATCTTATAGCTAGTTGTGAGAATCAAATGAGATGACATATATAGATAGATAGATAAAGGGCTATAAAATGTGTTCAGTAAACATAGCTCCCTTCCTTTCAGGGTCCCAGAGGGCATGCCAAGGGTGGGATGCAGTTTCTGCTGTGTTGCCCACTCACTAAGGCACTAGAGAAAGCCAGGGTAGAATTCTGGGCTGGCTGGATATGCTTGGGGACTGCTTAGCTTAAATCACATCTCAGAGGCCTCTTATGAAATGCTTGTTTCTTGGACAGGGCAACTCTGGAGTGGCCTACTTCTAGAACTTCATGGTTTTCATGGAACTTTGCCTAGCCTCCTCTTTTTTTGGCAGGGGGGTGAGTGTCATTCAATCTCAGTGTCCTTTCTTCTTCCCTGGTTAGTGAGATTATTGAGGCAAATTCTTAAGTGAATTAGAGGTTGACTGAGAGGGGCCTGACAGCCCCACCACTGCCTATTCATATCCCCTGAACATCTGTTACTGACTGGCTACCTGGAGAGCCTTTGTACCCTAAGAGGCCCTGATTCTTTCTTAATGGACGAGTTGTAAGTAATATGAATGAGCATCTTGAATGCCCCCTGTACCCACAGTCTGCCTATCCAGTGGATACTACTGCCAACTTTTCATTAATACACAGAAGAGGGACAGATACCTCTAGGAATAGTGTCAACAAGGGCTGTTCCCTTTAAGAGACCCAGAAATCCCTGGCAAGAACCAGATGCCTGACATGACCTCTTTGCCCCCAACACCCTTGTAATCAGACTCCATAAAACACAGAACAAGAGAGCTTTGATGAGTGATGAGGTAGGCGGCCTTTCTGCACAGCCTTCTGTCTGCCCGAAACAATCCCCCAGAGCTCAGTTTCAGTTCAGGTGAGGTTACTGCAGGGTTGGTTGGCATCAGTGATTCGCAAGGGGAAGGCATGAGGATGAAAAAAGTGAGAACCACACTTAAAGATCACTTAAGATCATCCACAAAGGACCACATACAGAAACAGAAACAGACATATAGATAGGGATAGATTATGGAGCCCCAACTACTCCAAGCCTCATTTACCCATCATTGTTACTTCACGAAAAGAGTGGTGGAAACCTTTCAGCATCATAGAGCTGATCCTGGATTTGCTTCTGATTTATCTAAACCTCAGATGAAAACTTGAGTCCTCCTACCTCCTGGCCCCTACAACAATGCATTGCATAGCAGAGACAGAAAACATTGTTACAGCTGTACTGTTTGGAAATGAATTTGGGGCATGCATAAGGAAAGGCATAATGTAGATGCTCCTTTTCTTTAGGATAGTAGTCACTGTTACATCCTAATGCACTTGGAGCTGAGTGGACTTGCAGGAGGAGAGGATGAAAGAAATGGTTGCATTCTGACTCAGATGGGATTGGGACATAACTTTAGCAGGATACACACTGCAGGCCTTCTCTGAGCTGCAGAGCAGCCTGGTTTTGGCAGACTACTTCTTGTGAGTGCCAGGTCTCTTGTCAGTAACAAATGCAGTGCCACATTCAAGGCAGATCTGGTTGCATCTGGAGCTGCCATTGCTGCAATTTCAGAGGGACGGTGTTTGCTAGTCCTATACAAGGACTCTGGCCAACCAGAAATCTGTGAACTGGAGCTAACCAGAAAAATTTCTAGCTATGACATTGTAGAGACTCTTTGACCTTCATGAGGATGAAGTAACATAGATATGGGTAATATTTTTAATGAGAAAATCTCTTTCCAAGTCAACTTTTTGAAGGTTGATTTATATCAGAAACTGTGAAATCTGATTGACAGTGAATGGTTTACTTGTCTAGAAGTCCTGGTGCTTGTTTTGTTCTTTATTGCTACATTTGATATTGAGCAGACCTCTTTCTACCTCTCTTAAAATAACTTGACCATCACCCTGCTTCGTGAAGAGGCTAAAACAAATTTGAAATAATAAGACTGTGTAAAAATAGGAATGTATGCCCTAAAGTCAACCTGGGTTTGAATCCCAGCTCCACCAGTTTAAAGCTTGACTTCTTCAAGACTCTGTTTTCTCTTCTTTAAAATGGGGATAAAGTAGTGTCTACCTCTAGAATGGTTAAGAGCTGGATCATTTGGGCCCTCTGCCAGACACTCAAATTCTGACAGTGTGCTAGAAACACAGTAAATAGCTCAATAGATGGTAGCTCTGAATATTGTTATGTCTAATAAGAAGCTTCTCCTAAACAACTCAGCAGATTCCTGGTTCGTAGTGTTCTTCACTGGTGTAGAAAGAGTTGGTGGAGTTTTTGGAGGTGGTTCATATCATATGGCCAATTTAGACTTTAAGTTTTTTTTAAATTAGGGACTTTGAATTCCCCAGGGCACAAATAAACGGAAGGTGGTGAATATTGGTGTTTATTTAGGGCTTTCTGTCTGACTGTCTTCCCTTGTTTTTGCAGAGATCCGTGCTCAACTCACAGAGCAGATGAAATGCCTGGACCAGCAGTGTGAGCTCCGGGTGCAGCTGTTACAGGACCTCCAGGACTTCTTCCGAAAGAAGGCCGAGATTGAGATGGACTACTCCCGCAACCTGGAGAAACTGGCTGAGCGCTTTCTGGCCAAGACGCGTAGCACCAAGGATCAGCAATTCAAGTAGGGCTTTGTGGTTGTTACTCTTAGAGTCCTTGGGAGTAGAAAGGCTGGAAAGCTGTTTAAGGCCAGATGTAGAAGGACCTGAAGAATGAATGCTCTCCATCTTCTTTTTTTTTTGAATTGGAGTCTCACTCTGTGGCCCAGACTGGAGTGCAGTGGCCGCTCCCGGCCACCGCAGCCTCAACCTGCTGGGCTCCGGTGATCCTTCCGCCTCAGCCTTCCAAGTAGCTGGAACTACAGGCGCGCGCTACCATGCCTGGCTAGTTTTTGATTTATTGTAGAGATGAGGTCTCGCCAAGTTGCCCAGGCGGGTCTCGAACCCGCGGGCTCAGGCAATCCACTCACCTCAGCCTCCCAAAGGCACGGGATTACAGGCTGAGCCACCGAGCCTGGCTACTCTCCATCTTCTTAAAGCATTTTATTTGTGGTGGAGGGAGGCAGGGGGTCTGCCACCTAGATCCAGTTGGATTAATGAGCCACACTGCCTTCAGTGGTTGAAAGTCCTTAAAGATGTCTCCTTTTTCTGATCAGTCTTTTGTGCAGTTCAGAATTCTGGGACATCAGAATAGACAATGAACCATGCTAATAACAATAGCAAACAACTTTCTAGGTTTTTCTTTTGCTGGGCATGTTTCTAAGGGTTTTCCATATATGTTAGCTCACTTAATCCCCACAACAACTTCATATGTTGGTTATTATTGTTATCATCTCCAATTTACCGATGCAGAAACTGAGGTGTAAAGAGGTTAAGAAACTTAAACCCAGGGCTGGTCGGTCGATCTGTCTGTGTGTGTCGCTCTCTCACACACACACAATAAATACTGAGCTGGAATTCAAGCCTAAGCAGTCTGATTCCAGAGTCTATGCTTTTAACCATTTTACCAAACTGCCTTTAATCGGAAGAAATGAATGATGTTTTAGCTGTACAGCTAAATCTCTGCCTAGGCAGTTGCTAAGTGTATTCCTTCTACATTTACAATATTTTATACAGCTGAATCATTTACTCTGTTCCCACTGCTATTGCCCTAGTTTAGATCATAATTTTTTGCCTGAATGATTGCCATACTTGGTGCATCATCTATAGCATAGATTTTCAACCCTCACTGCTCATTAGAATTCCTTGGAATACTCAAAAAATACAGAGAAATCTGGACCCCATTGCAGTCTTATTAAATGAGAATCTCTGGGAGTGGGGCTTAGGTAACAGGGTAGTGTAAAAGCTTCCCAGGTGATTCCAATAAATAGCCAGCATTGAGGACCGCAGTCTGTAGGTTCTCCCCATTCTAATCTGCCTGCTTCACTAAGATCAGATCTAGTCTTCTTAGAACACACTGGAAGTCAAACAGTTTCTCTCTGCAAAACTTTCAGTGGCTCCCCATTGTCTAGGTTCTTGATACTCAAGTTGTGGTCTCCCAGTGTCAGCAACATCTGGGATGTTAGAAATGCACAATCTCAGGCCCCATCCAGACCTACTGTAACAAGATCTTCAGGTGATTTGTGTGCACAATGACGTTTGAGAAGTGCTGCTCTATTCACAAAGCTGCTTACTATCTTGGCTTAGTCTTTAGGCCCTTGGACATCTGGCCTTACACAGCTTTCCAACCTTGTTTCTTGTTCTATTTCACTATAACTTAGCCAAACAGAATATTCACTCCAGTGGGTCATTGGTATCCTAATATTTAAGCTTATGTGCCCATTCTTTACCTCTCTGCATGCCTAAGCCATACCCATGTCTGAAGACTCAGATGCTTCCTGTTTTAAGAAACTTTCCTGTTTCTCCCAGGAGAAAGAATGTTCTCCATCTTCCGAATTCTTACAGCATTTTATTTGTTCTCCTCTTAGGGAATTCACACTGTCTGCTTTCTGTAATCTTTCTTTCGTGGACTGTATAAGGTTGTCTGATTCACCTTTCAGTGTTTCACAGTACCTTGCATAGTGTGTGATATATAGTAGATGTTCACTAGATATTATAAATGAGTAAATGAATGAATAAATTCAAGACTTAATGCCAGATGTGTCTGATTTTCCCTTAGTTTTTATTTTTGTTTGTTGCCCTAATAATACAGAACACAAATTATTCTTTAAAAGCCAGCTCTGAGTAGTGAATATGGAGGTTAAGATTGAGGAGATTATGGCACTCTCAAAATAAGCCAGAATGAGAATTTCCTCTGGATGTTTTTCCCCTAAAAGTCCCTTATCTTTCCCAAGTCCTATTCTCTTTATGATAAGAGAATCATATGATAATAAAATATTATTTTAGTATGTGATAAATGAAGATTAGAGGAGGAATCATTTACTTTAGAAAAAGATTCAAAGATGTATTCTGTTGGTGAGCTCCTCCTAAGTTTAGACTAGTATTTGATTTTTAGTACTATATCCTATCCTCAGCTTAAGGATTTATTTAGCACAAATTAAGTTTCAGATGCGTTAATCTCTAAGTCATCTGAATTGCTCTGATTAAGATCACATACTAGGAACAGGCTATTTTGTCCAAGGCTGGAAGAATTGATTTCCCTTGTGATAACACTGGTACCTAGCATAATTTTTTCTCAAATATCCAGTGAGTATTTATTGATTAACTAGCTCTCTACTTGGTATTGTACAAGATACTGGAGGATACAAGAGAAGTTTATTGTGTGTACCCATAGGGAGCCATGTCTGGTTGGGGAGGAAAGATTTTCAATACAGGAAGCTATCAGAGGATAAAGCAATAATGATCTTAGGAAGAGATCATTGGTGTGATATAGAACACAGACCTAATAAGAGGTCAGAAATAAATCATCAGAGGTAGATAAAGGATCTGGAATAGTCGGGACAGTTTTCATGAAACAGTTGGGACTTATGTTAGACTTTAAAGGTAGGTATTTGTAGCAAAGGAGAGGACAGCATGGACAGAGGAGAATGGGCAGAAACATTGGTGATGAGGGGGTATAGGGGTTAGGGTGGGATCCAGCTTCTTTAAAGCGAAAGTTCTTACCCATTCACTAACTAATATCCATTGCAGAGTCCTTGAACTCCATTGTGCCTTGGGATATAACAGGGAACAAATGCTGCCTCTTCCACATGGTACTTACAATAGAATGAAGTAATGAGAATCACACAAATCACACAATTAGATATGTAACTTAAAGTTGTGGTAGGTGTTGTGGAAGAAAAGTACAAGATGGAACAAGAACTTAGAAGTGGGGAACTTCTCTACTTTATAGGTGGTTTACTCCAGTAGCTTTCTGTCTGATCTTACCAGATTTTTGTTATCTGAGCAACAATCAATCTACTTATTTAACAAACACCTTTTAAATACCTACTGGGTACTGTGCTCTCTGCTGAGTCTTATGGGGACTAAGATAAGCTTCAGAATTCCTTTAATAGGGAAAAAGAGACATGAAAACAATATGTCAAAAGGGCTTTAATAAAGATGAGAGCACAGGTATTTTCAAAAACAGTGGACAATACAGTTAAATAGAGTGGACCCCACTTGCTGGCTCTCCGATAGCAAGCAGAGAAGTTCAGATTTCATGTGGCAATGTGTTTAGTATGCTCTCTTGATTCTTGCACAAGGAGACATGAGGATAAATGTAGTAGAAGGACGAATTTTTATGCCAGAGAAGGTCAGGATGGAGGTTTTTGGAAGTAACCTGTGCACATGTGATAGCAGAACATGTGCACATGTGATAGCAGAGAATGTGATAGCCGAAAAAAATGGAGAGGAAGGAATGTATTTAGGAAGTATTCAAGAAACTAGACAGGACTGGATTACTGATTGGATAAAGAATCCTAATGATCAGAGGTGACCAGTGTCTGTAACCTGGCGACCTGGGAGAACTGTGGCATCCATGATAGAAGGGGTATGTTAAGAGAAGACCTGTTTCAAATGGTGATCTTACTTTGAACATGTTGGATTTGGGGCAGTGTGAGGCTATCAGGTATCCAGTTGAAGACATCGTACTGCTGAGGTTATGACTGGGGATAGCTAGCAGAATCTTAAGTATAAAAGTGATTGTGAAAGAAATGAATGCATATGATAACTCGGGAAAGAAAAAGAGAAGAACAGAGCTAAATTCAGGACCCAAGGCTTAGGGAACACCCAGTGTTGGGAGTAGTAAAAGTTACTACTAAGAGAAGCAAAAGTACCTGAAGAGATAGTGGGAGAGAGGGAAAGACTTGTTTCATTTCATTTTGTTTTGTTTTTAAGGCAAAGGATAGAAGGCAATGTAGGAGAGTGTCTGATGGAGTATAAGTGTTTCAAGTAGAAGATCTGTAAAAGTTAATCCCAGCAATTTTTTTACTGATAACTTTCTCATATGTAAGATATTGTGAGAGATGCCAACATGACTAAAGTAAGCCCCAAACACAAGAACTTTTAGTTTGTTGAAGTGAAACATATGAAATTGCTGGTTTTATAGGTTAAGAATGGTCACAAAGTGGGAATTTCATTTGGTACTACCTAATAGAGGAGATGAAATATATGTACAGATTCATTCAATACAGGCAAGATGGTGAGAAGCTTAATGAGAGAGATCCAGGCAACATCCTACTCTCATACATAATTTATTCCTAAAAATGTATACAAAAGTCAATTGTCGAATGTCTAACTACAGTTTTACATGTTGTAGGTGGGTTCTATTGTTATAAGCATATATGTGAAATTCTGATATCTCACCTGACATATTTGTAGCGTTTTGTACCTTGTCTTTTAATTTTCTTCTTTTTCTCACAATTAAACTCACAGCCTGCCTGCTTAAGTTCAGCGAGCATCTAAAGAGCCCACGTGGATAATGATTTCTATCTTTGTCTTATTAATACAGTGATGAGACCAATACTAGTAGTAGCATTTCCATTTTTCCATTTTCCACTCATTTCTGTGTTGCAAAAAATAGCCAAGTGTTCAGATGTTTGCACAGCACAAGCACTGCTGTACAGAGACAACCATGTTGCTGAAACAGAACTGACACTTGGCAAGCAGCAACACTAGACCAAGCTTGAAACATTTGTTAGTGATA